AAACCAATTTTTTATTGCTGAAATCACGAAATATTCCCGTAAGCCGAAAAAGAAGAAGAGGAATAACGAAAAATATTTTAAGAAGAAATTTTGTCTACTCAAGATAATAGTTGTCTGTAGTCTACTTATCTACGGTCAAAGACGCTTATCTCTTATCGCGAGTATTTCTTCACGAGATATTTAATCATGTCTATATCTCATTATCTTCGGTGTAATTTCAATCGTCCTGTAACATACTACATCAGCAGCATTTTGTACATGGTTTTTATTCCCTGTTTTTAATAAAAAAAATTAACAAATAAAATTAATCAATTGCAAACATTTTAGAAACGTTGTGATGCAAATATTTGTTTGAATCGTGATTGGATCGTAGCATGCATCGCAAAAACAATCTCCACTCACCAGCATTTAAATTCACACCAACCTCTTGGAAAAATCATCCAGCCAACAGGTGCCCAAGAAGGTTTGCACCCTCGCAGCTTTCAAAATAGGGCAGCTTTCAAATTTTTAGCTTCTTCACCTTCCTCTTATTCTTTTTTTTGGAAGCTACATCTGAAAAGATCTTGAATGATGTGAAATACTACTTTCCATTGTGCAAATACTGTAATTTACAGTGCATATGTCGTGACTTATTTACGATTAAACTGTTGAATCGGTATACGGTGACCAGGTATACCGCATTGAATATTGCAACCCCATCATCTACCCCTTTTTTCTTTTTTTCATTTTCTTATTGCTTTAATTACTTCACTTATTAGTGTGATAAGTAATATGGATAGACCCCTAGAGTATCGGTTTTAGCGAGTTAGTGAAAGTAATAACAATGCATAAATTGACTGAAGACTCGAACGCGGGGTAATAAAAGTAATCGCTACGCACTTTCAGTACTTAGCCATTGAAATGTGTCTCCTACAAAGAGATCGCACAATTACGATTTAAACAATTACGATTAAACTATTAAATCGGGACGGTTATCAGACCGTTGAGTAATGTAGCGCGCCCGCACCCCCCTCATTTTCTTTATTTTCTTATTTCTTTGATTACCACGTATATTATCAGTGTGTTAATAAATATGGATGGACAGAGTATCGGTTTTAGCAAGTTAGTGAAAGTGATACCAATCAATCAAAATCACATTTCAAAAGACTTGAACGCAGGGTAAGAAATGTAATCGCCACGCATTTTCAGTGTTAAACCACCGAAATGACTTATCAGTGTGTTATTAAATATGGATGGACAGGGTATCCGTTTTAGCGAGTCAGTGAAAGTGATACCAATGAATAATTGACATTTCAAAAGACTTGAACGCAAGGTAAGAATTGTAATCTCCACGCATTTCCAGTGTTTAGCTACTGAAATGCGTCACCTATATACAAAGAGCATCACAAATTTGTTTTCCTAAGATGCTGTCTCATTGGTCATGCAGACTTTCAAGTCATCTCTTATCGAGATGGATCAAGGGTATTCCACGTCCAGTTCCTTTCCCGTTCCCGCTTAAATCTATTTCGTGACCCGTTCTCCGGCACTCGGCAAAAATGACACAACCTCAATGGATATCTGTTGCAGTTATGTCTTTTTGCCGAACGGCCTGCGGAAACGAGGCCTCGGATAATTGAATCGGACGACGTTAAAACTTAGCACGCCTCCTTTCTAATAAGCTCTGTGATCCATAAGAATGCCTATGCTCTGGGGCTCATCAGATTTTAGTCATGTTCGGTTTTGACGTTGAACGATTCAGTTTATGAATTTATGAATGGGTATGAGTTCTCTTTCGTCAAACTTACCCTCCCGTGCGTCTTGTTCAGTGGCGTGGCGTGCTTTGCGATTTATCGATTTATCTGTCATTCAAACGTATGGAAAAGGATCGATGAACTGAGGGCTCGCAACGAACACCTGAATAATCGATTCTTTACCATATAGCTTCAAATGAGGAAATATCGAAAATCGACCATTCACGCCTCACCACTAGTCTTGTTGCCTCTCCTTTCTCCGTCACGTTCCTTGCTTTTGGTGCCGAGTTTTCTTCCACCCTTGGAAATCCGTAGAACAACATTGCTCATACGCCTATAACCTTGAAATTTCGATCGGCCTATCATAATATTCAGTTAACGATAGATCATTCGAGTTTTATTCATCCTTGCGTGACGTGCTTGGAAACCAGCTGACGTGAAATGAAGCTTAGGCGTTATCGTTGGAGAATCGCCGGATGGATATTCTGCCACGCACGAGGAAAATCACGGTTTGGGGGATATAGTGTAGTTATTCACACACCTTCCCTTTTCATGACAAAGCGGTATTATGCCCCTTTCATTAAACATTATCCCTTTTATGCTGATTTTAGTTGTTCCTACCGGTCTTTGTTTCTTTAGAGAAAAGGAAATTTAGCGGGCTGATTCACTGGGAAAAAAACACATTGGATCTAGAGTCCAGACTCTTAAAAACATCGAGAAGAAAAAACACTCTTGATTCAATCAGAATCTAGCTTAAATCAAGAACCAAGTCTCTTAATTTAAGCGGATTTCGTTTTGATTCAAGCAAAAATCCGATTGAATCAAGAGTATTTTTTCTTGT